ACAGCCAAAGGAAGCGACCACAACAATCAGCCAACGAACCGAACCGGCCAAAACGAGAGTTACCAAAATTATTCTGGCAATTTGCCCAAAAGTACAAGAAAACACACGCACAGCCAACAGCCAACAGCCAACAGGCAGCAGCCAGCAGCCACAGCCAACAGCCACGGCCAACAGCCAGTGGCGTAGGCGGCAGGGAGGCTGCGGGCTAGGCCAGGAAATTGAAGCTTTGGCCAACACATGACCTATTTTTCTGTTGAATTTAAACACACATAATTCCAGCACAAAATAATTGAGTGGGTGCATATTTATTCGCATATTTAGCTGCTGCCATAAGGACAATGGATGGGCAAGGTCAGCCAGCAAGGAAAGCCAGGGGACGGGCTCTATCTGTATCTGCATCTAGTAGTTCCCCGAAGCAAACCTTTCATTTGCACCCAATTATAGTTTGAAAATAAGGAAAACTCTTGGCTGTACACACACAGACACAGACATACACAGAGACACACAGAGACACCCTCTTGCAATACGCCACTGCCTGCAGCGTGGCGCAGATCCGTTGCTGCCCCATCGTCCCCAGCCGTCGCGTTGCCAAGGCCCTAACGAGTAAGGAATTTGTTTCGTGAGACGCCAGCCAATTTCCAGTGGGGTGGCAATGAGGAACAATGATGCGGCAGCCAGCTGACTGAGTGGCAGTGGCAGCACCTTGGCGCAGGGCACCCAGGGCGCCCAATATGGCGACGGGCCCAGCTCGTGTGCTCTGTGGCCATTGAAAATAATCAAGGAGCGGGTTACAGCAGTAGTCTTGCCACAATTTGTGGCGGATATGTTGCAAGCATCAAAATTTAAATCAAAAATTAAATAGTTTGCATAGCGCAGACAGACTTGCATGGATCCCTGCCACTATGTGGCAGGGGAGGCATGGCATGGAAACTCACATTTGGCTTGCCAAATCTCTGTATTAAATTCCGTTTTGAATTCGTTTTGTTAGTTTTACTTCAGAGCTGCCAGAATAGATGGCAAATACTGAAAAAAACAATTGAATTTTTATTTCAGCCGAAAGTAATTTTTGCACGCTCCAATCGGTCACAATGAAAATTTTATATTTTATAGGGGAGCTGAGCAATGTCAAGGCCTGCTCAGTGCTGCATAGGATCGAAAAGACGATAGGTTTTAGTGTGGGTAAATTTCAAGTCCATTACAAAAACGAGAAGGAACGTTTGAGTCGCTACGGGGGACGCGACTCCCCCCCCCCCCCCGCCCCCCGCCCCCCCCCCCCCCCCCCCCCCCCCCCCCCCGGGCCCTAAGCCCCCGCCCCCCCCCCCCCCCCGGCCCCCGGCCGCCCCCCGGTACCTATTTAGCCCGTTCTACTAGGTTAGTATATATATTTTTGAGCTTATGATTTACCCCTTATAAGAAGCCAAAAAAACTGATAGAAAATTTTAATTTTAAAATTATTTTCAGCTATGGTAAACAAATAAAACATTCTCAGGGGAACGGTTTCTCGTTCTTCTGTATCACTTTCTTCCCATAATAATAACGGGACTTCAAGGGACAAATGGGAAGCAGAGAGTAAATAGAGCAGAAACAAATAAATATTTCTACACAAAGGACATCTATCTCTGGGAGCGATTCTCCGCTTGCCTTTCATTGTGAGTTTACCCCCACAAAGTGGCCTGCTGATCCGTTGAGGCATAATCTATATCGTGTGGCAGACTGGGGCAAGAGAGTATTGTGCCTTGACATTGACACTGACACTGGAAGAGTGGAAGAACTGTCACAGACATGGCTACACACTGCCAATGTCATTGACAGTAAATTCTTCTGGGCTGTTGCACATATATAATCCTGCTGTGTGTGTGTGTCATTGATTTGTTCGAATGGGGCGAATCCGGCAAATTGCACAACAGCAGCAGCAACGTAATCAGTAATGCAACAGTTACAGCAGGACACAAAGGCAGGGCCAGAGGCAGGACACAGGGCCAGAGCCAGAGGCAGGACACACTTTTAGTGCTTAAATGAAATATTGTTAAGGCGAATCTAAGGGCATTCAAACTGAGTGGCTGTCAAAATCAGTTGAAGCATTTCAGAATGGATTTGAATGTTGCATCCAGTGAGGCGTGTGACGAGTAAACTCCCTCCATTGAAAGTCGCGTACAATAAACGTACTTGCTGAATACTTGGACTCACTCATTCACCCATTCCCCCAGCTTAGTGCCATTCATTTATTCAATTATAAGACATTCAGGAGGGAGAAAGCAAAACAAACCCCCAGAGCCAACGCAAAACCCCAGACAAGAGTGGCGAAAATTCTCGTTTAGAGCATCTCCGCTGTCTCCTGGCAATGGCAATTTCAATGCCAAATTGTATAAGCAGCTGTAGCTGCAGCTTCAGTGGCTGCTGTTGCAGCTACAGCTGCAGCCAAGCGGAAAATTTCCTGGGGCGACAAAACGGAAAATTCCACCCACATAGCCAACCCGAAAAAAGGACACGCACGGCTCTGTCCTTAGAATTTTGGGGGTAACCGCAACAGCAGCACTACACGGAGCCTGTTTTTCTTTCCTTTCGATTTTAAAGCAGCAATCGAGGCGCGTTCGTGTAACCCTTTAAGTGTGTGTGTGTCCTTGATTGTTCAGTTACATGCATAACGTTTGCCTAAACATTTGGCAAAACTTTCGATTGGGCATATCCTTCCATTTGCCAACAAAACTGGCGGGCCATAACGCTGTGCATTGCTCTACCAGCCACGGCTAGGACACACTGGCAGAGTGACAAAAGCGGGCAATTGAGCGCCACACTGGCCGAGAGACAAAAGCGGCAGAATGAGCCTCGATAATGCGCCTGCTATAGTCTCTCAGCAAAAGTCTCTCTCAAAAAATTCAGCAAAACTTTAGGTGCTGATGCTTATGTTCTGCACTGTCGGGGGAGCCACACATGAGGCTGTTGACTCAGCCTTTGACGCCGGCCAAAAAGCTGCAGCAAAAGGGCGGGCACGGGGGGTGGGCCCCCTCACTGTCAAATAGCGTGAAAAACTTTTCAAATGCCGCAGCCAGCCTTGCTGCCCCACCCACTTGTAAAGGGGCATTGGCCCGTTCTATGCATTTCGCCTATTTATGAATAGAGCTCTTTAGATTATTTTTTTCTTGATTTTTTTTGCTCTTCTCTTTGGCGCACCATAATTATGCCAAAGATGTGTACAACATGCCACGCCCCAACGCCTTTGTCAAATGCTGATGGGAAAAAAAAAAGGAGAGATGCCTAAGAGATGCCAACAGATTTCTAAGCCACATTCGAGTTGAGCCTAGCCTAGCCTGGGCAGAGTTTTATTTGTTGCTTTTCCAGGATATGTCAACTTGAGCTTTTTTCCATTTTCATATATTTTTTTAATGAAGATTTTGCGGTGGCTACTTTGAATTATGCAAGTGCTTAAAAGAGTTTCCCTGGCCGCATGGCCCCTCTGCCTTGCCTGGGTGCGCAGTGACCCAAATCAGGGACGACTCCTCTGGGGAGATTTTGGTCACAGACAGGTCGCAGGTTGGCTTCGACTTTTGAGCACAAAATTCGATGGAGTGCGCTTTGCGCTTATTAAGCTTAATTGCAAAACGCTTTCACATTAGACGCTGTCGATATGTAGTCAAAGTGTTCAAGGGGAGCAGCGAATGTGCATGGATTTGGGGCACTTCCATGGAAACAGCAGCCGGGTGCAGGCAGGGCAGGAGGGACTAAGTACGAGTGTGTGCGCTTCAACATTTAAATTCTTATGGAATTATATCAAATGCACTCAAAGTAATTTTGGCAGAGCTTAGCAGGGGGCCACAGGGCGCTTTGCCCGCCCCATTGAATATCACAGACAGACTTATTTGGGGGGGGCATGGCCAGAGGCAAGGTATGCCGGCTCTTTCGGGCTTAAACTTACATGTTACTGAGAATCTTTGTATTTCGGTTGAATTTTTGGGACTTCTTTGCTTTTCTCCCGTGTAAGATAGGGATCGCCAGAATATGGCGCTAAGTCGGCACTAAATTTAGTTTTTTAATTTCACACTTCGAGACGAGAGCAAAATTTCAGTCTGGATTTTTGTTCACTGCGAATGACAATGAAAATTTGACTTAAGCGAACTGACAGCGTTCAGTGTTGGGCAGCAGCGAAAAGTTTTGAGTGCTGAAAATATATATGGATGAAAGCAGTGCATTTAAGTGTTGGTAAACACAATTTGTGGCGCTTTTTCTCGTTTCCACTGATATCCAAAAGAAAGAATAGGAGGAAATTGTTGCATAAATAGCTGAGATGCCTTTCAATTATGCAGAACAGCAACGCACAAGTGAATGGAATCCAGGCCGATGTGTGTTTTGCCTCTTGGCCATTTGCCAATCATAATCTCGGACAATCATATCGATCCTCCCCACTGCGTTGCAGAAGGATGTTCGCTCGTGTGCTATAAATACAGAAAAAGCCACAGAAACAGCCACAGAATGCCCGGCATTTGCCATCGATACGAGTACGAGTCATGAGCCATAAGCCATGGAGCAGTCTTTATTAGTAGGCAATCATCACAGAGAATCACAGAGATGGCAATGCCCGGGCCTCTGCACCCTGCATGTGGGTGTGCACGTGGACTGCACTTAAACAAAAGCCAGTGATGGTTTTATCTTCCTGGTTCCTTCTGTTGCCTGTTGCCTGTTGCCAGCTGCCTGCTGACTCCTGCTGGCTCTCCTGCATTGTTTGATAAGCTTTCAATTAAGTCTCTACTATGGGGGTCGTACACCTCCAAGTGGCTGCTTGGCTAAAATAGCAAAAGGGGGAGAGCAGAGCGGCATGCTCTACTGTTTTATTTATAGAGGTAATCGGTTGTTCTGTGTGTCGAAATTAATTTCAATTTTCCAGCAAACTATCGACCAGTTTTCGTTGTCATTTAAGGGGCAGATCAAATGACACTTGAGCCCCCATAATGTCGGCCTTTTGGCCTTTAAACTTATTTAACTCGCCATCATTCTGTGTTTTGCAGCGGCAAGCATGCTGCTGGGTGCACTATGATAGAGCAGCCAAGTGCCGATGACACCGGCGGCGGTGTCGCCACTCACTTTTTCGCCCGTTTGATGCGCCTCACGGGCGTCTCAATATCATCCGCTGCTGCGACTGCCGCTGCTGCATTCAACTCCATGCCGGAGCCCACCGCACCAACATCCTCGCAGCTCATGACAACCGAAACGCCCACCACAGCTGCAGCGGAACTGGCACCTTCCTATCTCATCGAGCGGGTCACACAGGTGGCCCGCATAGCCCTGGAGGTGACCACAACGGCATCGGAGGTGCTGGCAGAGGCACTGCCCGAGGTGGACGCCAGCTTCGCCAATGCCACGACAATGCACGGAAATCTAACATTGGCCGCTGCGGCAGCCACCAACTATGACAATTGTTCGGCGATTTTTGCCAACTACACGCAACCAGAAACAGGTGAGTGGATGGAATAACTTTGGACCGATTACATTGAGCTTACTCTGGCTGTTCATTTTGGGTGGCTGGATTACTTATGGCGATCTGCTCCGTTCTCTACCAATATTCTCTGATTTAATTTCAGGCATCTACTGCAACTTCACTTGGGACACTCTGACCTGTTGGCCCCCAACTCCGGCGGGCGTCATGGCGCGCATGCATTGCCCGGTGGGCTTTCATGGTGTCGATCCGCGAAGTAAGTATTTCGTATATCTAGATAATTGAACTATAAAGTATAAAGCAGAGCAGAGCATTTAGAAATTATTTATTACTGCCCCCCCTGTCTGCCTTGTGGCATTAAATATTGATTAGGAAGTGACCCATAAATACGCGTATCAGCATATTTCCATTTTCCAATTAAACAGCATGGCCTGAATTATTTGGATCAGTGCCGACTAGTCGGCAGTTTGGCAAACAGTTAGCTGATTTCGTATTCCGTGCATGCCTCACGGCGACACGCGTTCTTGCAACAATTTAGAAGCCAGCGCAAGGCATCGATTAGAAGTGCAGCCGAGGTCATGCCGAAACTGGAACGAAGAGGACTGAACTGGGACTGGGACTGTGATGGTCAATCCTACCGTCCTAGCAACTATTACCTAACTATAGTCTAACCCCACAAATTGAATGTCCTCGATGGATATGCGTACGAGTAGCATTGTCCTGGCACCGTTTTGCATGCAACCCCAGCCCCTTCGATCCAGACACCAATTATTAATTCGCTTGACACCATTGCACTTGTCAGCGGAGGGGCAGCCAACTGATTGAAATGCCAAATGGCGCAGCTGCCAAATTTTTACCTCTCGAGAGCCGTGTAGTTCGAGGAAAGAGATCGCTAACATTGAGCTGTTAACTGAGAGCGGTAACAGGCTGTTAACTGGGAGCGGTAGCAGGCAGTTAACGGAGAGCGGTAACAGTTAACTGAGAGCGGTAACAGGCTGTTAGTTAACATGGCATGCTGCTGTTAGGGCTCACGCACACACTAGCTGAAAGCAGAGCTGAACCAAACATGATTGATCATGCTTAAGCTTTCAGCTCTGCTAAGCAGCAATGTGCGCACTTGCACTGGAGCAATGTGTGCGTGCGCCCTTTGAGCTGCTGCCCTGAACATAAAGTAGCTTCTATGTTCTCCATACTATTCCTGGTGTTTTAATCTCTGAACTTTGATTTGATGATTGCAAAAAAACAGAATTTGCCATCCGCAAATGTGAGCTGGATGGCCGCTGGGGCACACGACCAGATACCACAAACATGACAGCGGAGGCGATTGCCGCTGGTTGGACCGACTATGGGCCCTGCTACAGGCCCGAGGTGATTCGCCTGATGCAGCAGATGGGCAGCAAGGATATTGATGTAAGCGCTTTCGATGCATCACGCACGCCTCAATCCTAATCATCCCTTTTTTGTTTGTCGGAATGTCTTTAGCTCTACATTGAAATTGCTAGGCATACGCGAACGCTGGAGATTGTGGGCCTGTGCCTGTCACTGATTGCGCTGCTCATCTCTCTGGTGATCTTCTGTAGCTTTCGTTCGCTGCGCAATAACCGCACGAGAATACACAAGAATCTGTTCGTCGCCATGGTCCTGCAGGTGCTCATCCGACTGACGATCTATCTGGATCAATTCCAGCGCGGCAGCAAAACCAGCTCCCCAAACTCAAGTAGTAGTCTGTCGGCGATCGAGAATACCGTGCGTACAGTACACAGTACACACATGCATCGATTCAAACAATCGTAAATTAATATTCGCCCCAAAATCCTTCAGCCATATCTGTGCGAGGCCTCCTATGTCCTGCTGGAATACGCCCGAACGGCCATGTTCATGTGGATGTTCATCGAGGGACTGTATCTTCACAATATGGTCACGGTGGCCGTGTTTCAGGGCCAGTTTCCGCTCAAGTTCTTCTCGCGCCTGGGCTGGTGTGTGCCCATCCTGATGACCACCGTCTGGGCACGTTGCACCGTCATGTACATGGACACCTCGATGGGTGAGTGCCTCTGGAACTACAACCTGACGCCATACTACTGGATACTCGAGGGGCCCAGACTAGCTGTCATTTTGGTGAGTCGTCTCCTGCCCCGCTATGTGCACCACAACTGACTGCTCCATTGATTTAATGTCTTGCAGCTGAACTTTTGTTTTCTGGTGAACATCATTCGGGTGCTGGTGATGAAGCTGCGCCAATCGCAGGCCAGCGATATCGAGCAGACCCGCAAGGCCGTGAGGGCTGCCATCGTCCTGCTGCCCCTGCTGGGCATCACCAATCTCCTGCACCAGTGGCCAGTCACCAAGTCGGCCACTAATTTTGCCGTCTGGTCGTATGGCACGCATTTTCTGACCTCGTTTCAAGGCTTCTTCATTGCTCTCATCTACTGTTTCCTGAATGGCGAGGTGAGTCCTGTCTGTCAATCGATTTAATCGATTAAATATGGACATTAGGCAGACGATATTTGTAAAAGATTTCGCTGAAATATGAACAGAGATCTTTTACTCCCTTCGATCGATAATTATTCGATAACTACATAGTTATCGGTACACAGATAACACCGATAATGATCGATATTTTTCGTTCTTTAACTCGATAGGTGCGCGCCTGCTTGCTCAAGAGTTTATCGAATCAGTTATCGCTGCGCGGCCATCCCGAATGGGCGCCAAAGCGGGCCTCCATGTACTCGGGCGCCTACAACACCGCCCCCGATACGGACGCTGTTGGCCAGCAGGGGGTGACCGAGAACCAGACGGCCACAGGTACACGGTAAGTCACACATGCGAGTACTCACTGTGCCACATTGCCACATTATGAATCCTCTGGTGAATCCTTTGTTTAGAACATCGCCGCCCAACAGGCGGCAGAACACTCGCGCCAGCATCGTCATGATCCACGAACCGAACCACCGACAGCGGAACCACAACAACAACAACAACAGCCAGGAGAGTCCACGTCGCCCGAGGGGGGAACGCACTGATGATGAAGACCGCATAGGAATTGATGGTGGAGCCGAAGTCGAGTCTGAAGTCGTGGTGGTGCAAGGCTCTGGCGGTGCGGGTGCTGGCGCTGGTGCTGGCGCTGGTGCGGTGGGCAGGAAGCGCGAGACACGCATACATGCTGGCACCAAGTGGATGATGGCCGGCCTCTGCTTCAGGGGTCAAAAGGTACTTAGAGTACCGTCAACGTCATCCGTACCACCCGAGTCAGTTGTATTTGAGTTGTCAGAGCAGTAGGCCAACTAAACTAGACGTAGACCGTTTGCCGTAGACCACATATCCACACACATAGCCAATTACTCACTTAGTCACTCGTAGAGCCACTCCCATTCACTCCTCTCAAACGTAGCAGTAAATCCGTTCCAAACTCATACCCGTTTATGCCAAAGCCAACAATTAACCCAAAAGTACCCCAGTCGTCACCAATCATAGCCCTTCCCTGTGCTAAGTTTTTAAATAAACTACATAAAAACCTAAGCTATTGGATATTCAGAGGATAGAGCCCGCGGTTGCCACAGTTGCACCACCATAATATTTAAGGAGCAGATCGATAAAACAAAAACTTATATTTAACTATAGTTCGTAGCCCCTCGGTCGGTCTGCGTTTCTGCCTGGGATCTGCTGGGGCATTCATGGCACTCCAGCGTCCCAATAGCCCTCGATGCACAGCTGTTCCTAATGTTTCCCATTGATGTGCATAGATACATCCCCATGACAACTGAATATTCAATGTGGCAACCGTGGACAAAACTTACCTCCTTCCCATCGCCAAAAGTAATGCATACTTATATCTACAAATATCTGATGAGTATGAATCTCTATTAGATCTGGGGCACAGTCACACACACTTACGGCTAACGCTTGGTGAATTCTACAGCAAAAACTTGAGCGGCATGTTTCTCTTATATCTAATATCTAATTTAATCTATTATAGAAAATATTTTATAATAACTTATTGCATTCGAGTACTGCTACCAAACACAACTGTACCGTGACAATGCAGTGTGACCAAAGGTCAAAGTTAAAATCAAAAATCCAAATGTTGAAAGAAAATTTCCCAAATTTCCTATTGCTTTAAGAGGTTTTATTTGTTAAATAAATTTAAATATTGTTTTTATAATTAGTTGCTTTTATGTTGATGTACATTTAATGCACGTGCTATCATTATTTTGTTTATAAATAAGCGAAAAATCAGTTTGATATTCTGAACATATTTATTTGTTTTAATTTAATGAGCATTAAATTGATTTTAATTTATTTTCGACTTTTATTGTATTTTTATATAGTTTATAAGAACTACAGGAGGACCATACCTGCTTATATATTCCAATTTAATTCGCTTTAACAGCAAACTGTCTTGCGAGATACCACAGAACTGACCGAAAAGTGTTGGCAAATGTGAACTGTTTGAAGTGCAACGAACTGGTCACACTGCCTGTCACGCGAATGCTTTGTCTATCGTTTACGATCGATCACGCTCACTTGTTTTACTCTATTTTGCTCCGCTATGCAATGAAACGATATTCTTTAAAGAATTAATATTCGAGAGACTTCAACTAAACTAAAATATCTTTCTCTCTTTTTCACTCTGCTTGCGTGTCCTGTTTCCGATTTTAGAACAAACGTGTGATGTCCAACGCTCCCAATGTAGCACAGAAAATATTTATGACTCCGCAGCTGCCTGCATCGACGATGACCCTCGCAATTGCCACTGTAAACGCCGCACCAGCAGTCGAAAAAACATGCACAGAGACAGCTCCAACCGCAGACGCAACAACGGAAACCGCAACCACAACCCATACCCTAACCATTTACCCAATGGCAGCTCATATACACACCGTACCCGGAACACCAGAAGCAACTATCAAACTATCAATTATATCGGAGGCAAGGACAAAGAGAACTCCAAGGCATCTGCATGCAAACACAGCCTAAAGCTACCAATCTGTCGAGCAGACGGCGGTGACTGTTTAGTTTTTGGCGAACGCAGGTGTCCCGTTAGCCCAGCTTAGCGTTTAAGCGTGAAACTGTACTTTTAAATGTTTTTCGTATGCAACAGGCATAAGCACACATACATACACATGCTTTTAAAAGAACACAACTGTACCAGAGTAGAGCTAAAGCGAGCAAATTGTACTTTACTGTAATGGTTTGCCGTATGCACAGGGAACACACACAATTGTACCAGCTTAGCGTTTAAGCGAGCGTAACTGTACACACCAAAATGGTTTGGAGAGAGAACTGTGTTCCATAGAGAGAGAGAAGCAACAGTTCTTATCATTATCCAAAGCTAACTAAAACTTTGTTGTATGCAAATCTGTAACAAAATCTCTCGAACAGAGTGACCGTATCGTTTTGGCACTCTGCTGTTTTCGAGAGCAACTGTACTTCGCATTGCGGCAGTGCGGAGGCAACTGTACTAAAACTTTTTTTGTATGCAAAGGCATAGGGTAACACATTCACCACATGAATATCGTACGATATATAACTATACCCATAAAACATATATGTACTAAATGTGTCTATATATATGTATACAAACATACAGATATTTTTGTATACCCATACATAAGCCGAAACCGATGGATCACAATGTTTTTTTTTTATCGCGAATATAAAAATATTGAATAGCCAACATACAGATAAAAAAAAAATGTATGGATAAATTGATGTAATATTGATGTCAGGCATATATGTATGTACATGCATACATTTAGATGTTAAATTTTTTTTTTTGAAAAATCTACTAATAAAAAATCTATATATACATATACATATAGTAGGTAACAGAGACAGCATATTTACATAATATTTACACTGAGCTACATACAAAAAAAAAAATGCAAGCCTAAAAAACCTGAAAAGCATTCAGTGCTATTAAACGGCGGATAGAAAGAGCGAGAGAAAGTGTGTTGGAGAGGCAAAAGAGAACGATCGTATATTGAATTTAACATGCAACACGGAAGTACAAACCACGCGGAAATGAAATGGTGCACAAGGCAGGAAGGTAAAAGAGGACTTTGAAAAACTTTTCAATACTTTACCACACTGCACACTGCTCAGAACACTCATCAGGCGGATCAGTTCCGTGGATAGCCAGTGCGCGTGAATACTGAATATTGAATTAACTCTAAGATATGTTTTCTGCATTTTAATGGAATATGTGTGAAATTTGCTGCTTTTTCTTGTCTTGATTTTCGTTACGCTTTTGGCTATGCAAAATGCAAAATTTCTCCAAAAAAAATACAAAATATACCTACCATGAATTCAAGCCGAATTTAAACTACAAACAAACCAAAAAAAAAAAAAACAGGTCACCCAATGGTCACTGGCATACTATTACGTGTATAAGTCTAAATGGAATACAAAACTATGAATAAACATGATTTTTAATGTATACATACTACTCCTACAAAAAAAAAAACGCAAAGAATCAATTGATTTTTCGTTCGCTTTGTGGCATTTGTGGATTTGGTTTCAGGTTCGCGAAATCAAAAACAAAATCATTATCTCTGCTATCTGATCTCTGAATGCTTTGCAAAGGCTGTGGTCGAAAACTGATCCCCAAACACAGTGACACTCAGTGCCGATTTACGCGGCACGTGCCGGCCGTGAATCCGCGAATGGCATGGGACAATTGGCAATTTGAGAACCATAACCAGCTTAATCACACATTTTTATGAGCCATCATACTATGTACAATATGATAATAAAAATGTACGAATTTTATATGATTATACATACATATGACGGAAGAAGAGACACGCCGAAGAAGGAGATGCCCTTGCAAGAGATTTGATAAATGAAATTCTAGGAGATGGAATACTTAATTTCCCAAAGAGATGCTGGAGTACCTAACGGATATTTGTGATATTTATGTATGAGATGTTTCCGTAGCTATGGAATGCTTCCATACATCCCTCTAATCAGACAACAATATTAAAAAAATATAGCATTCACAGGGTATAAATACCTCCAAAATACTTGATGAAAAACGTAAAATATTTCATACTCAAAGGGTAATTCCGTTACACATACCGACAGACACTTCTATTGATTGTTAAGTACATCAAATAATATGATACCTTTGGTTGGGGTACACACAGCAACAACATAGAAACCAATTGACAATTGACAAACAGAGACACAAGCGACAATTATGGCCTTGCATCACCTATGTACGAGTGTGTACAAACAGGCATACAATATACAACAATACGAGTATATTTCCAACAAGAACGATAAACGGGAGACATTTATGTGGATATCCCAATGAACAATATGCAACAGGAACAGGAACAACAATCAGCTTGGTGGGTGGGTTGTCGGACGAGGTAGCAGAGTGTGAGGAGGTGGTGGTGAGTGTGTGACTCTAGAACAACAGATCCTCATCGCCATCTTCGTCGAGTATGTTCTGGACCTCCTCGGTGGCGGCAAGATCGCCCAGGCGACGCAGCTCCTCACGCCGCTTGTCGGCTGACTTGCGTGCCTCACGCTTCTTGTCCTGGATCTTCTTCAAGCGATAGAACTCCTCACGCTCCAGCTCATCCAGTTCACTGATGATGTACTCAATGGTGCGATTAAGACGCGGTATGATCACTGCAGAAGAAAGTACAAGTTGATTGCGGAATGTACGTAGGTAGGAATCACAACTCACCATGTTCGATGGCATTGACACGACGATTGGTCACCTTGATGACATCGTCCAGGGTCACAAACGAGGTCTGTAGCGAGGCCAGCTCGACCAGTAGGCGCACGGCGCTCTGGTAGTTCTTCTTCAGCTTCGCCAGCTGCTGGCCACCACGGGCCAGACCAGCCAGCTCGTAGGTATCGACTCCATCAATGTAGGGCTCGAACACGGGCAGCGTGACACCCGCCACATTGTCCTTCTTGGTGCGTATCTTGATCTGGGCCTTGGTCACATTCTGGAGCACAATTTGGTTGATGTCGCCGGTTGTGAATTTGGCCTCCGCCAAAGAGAATGCGGCCTCCTTCATCATTTGTCCCATCAGGGTCTTGGTCTGTGAAAGCAACGCGCCACATGTGAGATTGAAGATTGGATTTAGCCAATAAGCATAGACACGACATACCTCAATGATCTTGCCCAGAATGAGGCGAAAGCGCATCTGCAGGGCATCGGCCTTTTTCTTGAGCAGTCCATGTCCCTTGGTGGCGCCAGCCAGACGCGATTTCATCAGTGTTTGGGCCCTGTTGGTGGATAAGAATTCCCATATAGGAGGGCACCAGATGGATAGTTGGCTACCTCACCCGCGCGAGGGGAACACAGGCAAGCGATCTCTGGAAGCCATATTTTTTTCTTTAGAGCCTTTAGAGTCGTAGGGAGAATCAAAATACACAAAACACAAAAGTCACACGCACAACGCCAACTATAAACTATAAATATTCACAAAAAAAAAAATATATATGCGACAATACGAAAATAAACGGACGGGACAGCCACCACGGAACGAGTGCACGTCTAGAGAATGGGCCGACGAATGAGCGACACTAGTGCGACCCGATTCGGTCCGGGCGGAGAGGAGAGCAAGCCACGCGATGTGTCAGCTGTGCCGCAACAGCTGTCCACTGACAAGAGAGAGAGAGAGAGCGAGTGCTTTCATAGATGGGGTCTCTGGATTGATCCTATATGAGATTTGAAATTAAATATATCAAAGCAGTTATCGATTTTCGAAAGAATGGATGCCACCAAATAAAATGAAATTCGTATTGGCAATGCATCAAGAAGGATTTCGTTGGGACACCCTCTATATGAAATTTACTACTGGGATGGCGGATCCCATCAATCGATAGCTTGTGAGGGTGGCTGTCAACTTGATGGATTTGTGCCGTAAGGTCGAGTGCAAGGCGTGAAGTGATGCCAGTTCCGTGCAGCAGCTACCGTTAGTCGGGAAGATTGATTTTAATTGAATCTGATTGCCAGCAATAACGCACAACGATATTTTTGGATACACCCCAACAAACGCCCATTCCACGGGGCATGGGCACCATACGCACAACACAAAATAAATGCCAGCCGCAGAGCCACACAAAGACGACATCCGACGGAACTGACTTTGAAATACCTTTGTGCGTTTGACCCAACAATAGCCATGGCTCTGGTTTTGGTTTTGGTTCTGGTTTGGGTACGGCTTCAGTTTTTTGCCATGGGATCCACAGCAGCGTCACGCAATTTGAATATGCGTCCATTATTTTTGGGATGGTATGTCATGACTCTATATGTGTCAATGGACACGAGCTCGTCCGCCCCATATGGCCACAGTCCAGTGACGGCCAAATATTAATTAAAATATTGAGCTCGTCATTCGGTAGACTATACAGAATGAATTTGAATGAGCTATACATGCATATGTAATACTGTTTCCTTGCATCCATCTTGTACTTTTTTTGTTCCCTTCCCGCACTCTGCGCGATCGCGTAATCCTACTCCTCTGCTTTCTCTTCAACGCTGCTTCTGGCAGTTTGAGAGCAACTTCATTCGCATTGTTTTGTTTTTACATACACATACACCGCGTAAGTTACCGCGTTTGAGACGAAATATCACGCACCTGTACTTTGCTGGAACCTATACATTTTTTTTTGGCAAGAGAGGCGCATATTCCCTACTGCGCTCCCACGCTCTTACTGCAGTGCGGAGAGAGAGAGAGAGTGCTGGCTGCTACAAAAAGGAGAGCGAACGTTTGGGAGTGACTTCATTTACCGTTTATTTTTCAAATTATTCCTCTTATTGAAAAAACAAAGGGACTGCACTTACATATGTACATAAGTATGTACATATTTATATGTACCTTATGATCGGCTCTCACAATAATTCCACATGGGAGTTCAGTATATCCAGAAATGGCTTAAAAATAATTTGAAGCCTCTTCCACTTCATAAAATGCTGACAAACGCTCTTACATGATAAATATACTGGGGGAGGCATGCCTATCTTTGAGTGTGTACTAAAAATCCTGTATTCTATGCATATGTCTGTATATGTGACTGTGCGTGTATGCATATGTATATCTATCTATTAACACAATTTGTCTGACATCCTTCCTTTGCCCCCGTTTGATTGTGGCACGTCCTGGCCGTTGTAGTTGCTGTTGACAGATTTATGGCAAAGAGGCTCCCCTAAGTGTGCGTGCAAGTACTTCAAAACAGTGTGTCAAGAAAGTATGCTACCATTTTACAATAGCAGGCGACTTGCATTCATATAATTCATATTAAAGTTATTTGGCAAAGTAATTAAACAATTTAAAAAAAAATCTGAGATCTTTTAATTAATTAGTGAGCCTCATTAATTTTCATTGGATGGGGCAGGATGGGGTATCGTCCTCGCTGAGGGTATTATTACAGTGCAAAATCTTTAAGGTACAAAATCGATATAATATAGGACTGGTAATATTAAATTTATTCAGAAAATTTATTCTCATTCCCACTGTTCTGAGACTTTTCGGACATACTGTAAGTATTTACATGGTATGTGGGTGACGACACAGCCCTCATTCACTCACTCACTCACTCTCTCCCTCATCCACTCCCGCTCATTCTGTCGAAGGAAGTCACGCACAAAGGAGGGAGAAGAATCAACAGTTAGTTGCTGCGCTCAACAACAAAGTCAAATTCGCGAGGGAGTGAGAGCGCTTGAGTGAGAGTGTGTGTGAGTGCGAGTAAGGTGGAGGGGAGCAGCTCTCGATTTTACTGTTCGTTCCGGCAATTGTATTGGCATTTGGTCGTAAGTCACGGCCAGCAATCGCTCACTCATTCGCACACCATCAAACACAAAGGCACTTGCGTGTGTGCGTAATCATGGAAGTAGCTTTCAAGGGGAGCCGGAATAACCTTTACACTGCTGTATCCCTGTGACCCTGAGGCGACACGCCTCTGCCTCTGCCACTGCCACTGGCTCTGCAAACATTTTTTATCCATACTTCGGCTGTGTGAAGAGAGGGATACCCGAGCACGCACCACAGCGCCAGGATGCTGCTGCTGCTACTGTGGCTCCATGCTCCAGGCTCCAGTCGTCGCAGTTCTCATTTGGCAGCGCCCGCAAGTAGGTTACACATTTTTTTCGCCAGCTCCAAAGCAAGTGAAAGTAACTGAAAGTAAGTGCAAATTGTTGAATAATTGTTTAAGTAAAGTGCGCTGCTTGGGTCAAGTGTGTTTTAATTGAAAAAGGGAAGTGATGAGAGCAGAGAGCAAAGAAGAGTTGAGATTGAAGCTGTCAAAGCCAAAGGTGTGTCATCATAACGGTAAGGACTCTGTCTCTCACACTTCCACTGCCTGCCTGCAAGGTGTCTTCATATGGGGTGAAGCATTGCCAGAAAAATCTCATACGTTGGCTGCCTAATTTTGTGACATCTCACCTTATTCAACTACAAACGTATGTACCTTGCCTGACAGTAAGTGCACTTTTTCTATGTGTGTGAGAAAGAGATGGGGCGAGAGCAACAGCTAATTGCGTTATACGCAAAATTTGAAGTGTCCTTTGTGTGCCAATGTATAACAGACATTTTCTATATGTATCTATAAGAGAATTTTAATTAAATTAAAGTCACATTCCATCACCCAGGCACCCAGTCACCCACTTGCAGTAGCAGTGCCATTATGGAGTACAAACTGATTGGACCAGAGCATTACGAAGAGGTGATAGACCACCTGAGGCGGAACTTCTTTGCGGACGAGCCGCTGAACAAGGCTGCCGGGCTGTGCCAGAAGGGATTCGGCAATAGTGAGCTGGAGCACCACAGCCTGGAAACGCTGCACGATCAGCTCAGCTTGATGGCCGTGGCTCGCAGCGAAGAACCTGGACAGGTGGGCTGTAAAATAGCTGGAGTCATACTGAACGGCATCCTGCGGCCGGGAGACACTTCGCAGGCGCTGCAGAAGCTTCAGGCGAGCAGCGATGTTAACTTCAAGAAGATATTCGAGCTGCTCTACAGCCACAACCTGAAGGTGGATCTCTTCGGGCGCTTCAAAGTTGACCGCATCTTTGATGTGCGCATCCTCTCGGTGGACGCGAGCTACCGCGGCCAGGGTATTGCCAAGGAGCTGGTTAGGCAGGCCGAATCGCTGGCCCGCAAGCGCGGCTTCCATCTGCTCAAGGCCGATGCCACGGGCATCTTCTCGCAGAAGATCCTTCGCTCCCACGGATTCGAGCTCTTTGCCGAACAGCTGTACGCCAAGTACACGGACGCAGCCGGTCAGGTGGTCCTGCCCGTGGAGGCGCCGCACATTAAGCTCCAGCTGCTGACCAAAAAAGTGGGCCACGACGATGCTGATGTGGATGTGGAGCCACAGTAAGGAGGCCGATCGCATGCAACAATAATCTTTTGTATTTTCTATAGAGACACTCAACATACATAGTATTTAAACATACACACAGGTATTGATAATCGTATTGGAATGTGGACAGGACAGCAGCCTGATCGGCTGCTTCTGTTTGCGTAATTGCGTTTGTAATTGTTGTTGTTTTTTTTTTTATGGGGACCAACTGCGTTAGAAGCCGCGCGCGTATCAATGATATACATAACTAAACTCAAATAAAGTCCACTGTTGTGCCAAAGAAATGATTCGCTTCGACAACGTAGCAGCCAAGCCTAGCCAAACCATTTTCCATATCTAATCCAAATCCAATCAAATCGAATCCTTCGTTCAGTATAGTCCTATCCTATCCAATAATATCACAAAGCGCAGATCCATTCTTCATTCAAGCACGGCAACTGCTGGGCAGGTACTACGATTACGATGAGCAGCAGACGCTCCGCTCAGAGTCTGTCTCTATTCCTTGCTGGCCTTCTGCTCAAATATCAAGATGATGTCCTCATCGGTGCCATAGGCACGTCGTGCAGTGTCCATGGATTCTGTCAGGCAGCGGCATATATCTACATACAGAACGATTATTTATAGCTTTCGCTCGCAACTGTTGGATAGACGGATACTTACGGCCATCGTGCACCTCGGGGTTGTGGTAGAAGACTTTTTCGGTGGCCATGTCATAGCCGCAGAGCACCACATAGTGGCCGGCATACCTTTTGTTGGTGGCCGCGGGCAAGCGTGTATTTTGGGCAATACAAGGAATATGGAAACAGCTTAGCGGACATGAGCAGGGGGGCATGAGCAAACGGGTTGGGGGGGCAGCTCGGCCACACTTACCCGAACTTTTCCAGGACATTCCGTTTGCATATGTCGCAGGTGAGCACCGAGGCATTGGTCAGCAGAATGACGGGGCCGTATCGCGCCAGATGCCTGAGTATCACCTCCATGTCGACGGTGCGCTGCTCCACGCGCAATCCATGGGCCTTGGCATCCTTGAACTTGCGCGTCACACGCTTCTCGTCCTTGTCAATGATTTTCGAGTAGTACGTGTGCTGGCTGTAGTTTGGATCGATGCCCAAGGTCTGTGTGTAGTACTCGTGACGCACTTGGTAGCGCAGCAGCAGGTAGCACAAATCAATGGTCCATGTGCTCGACCCGAATCCCTCCTCCTTGCAGATGGCCTCGAAATTGGTCAGCATCTCGTCCCGCTGTTGGGTGGACAGTATCATGATGATGCAGGAGAGGCCGCAGTCCCAGTTGTATCGCTGCTGGTAGTGCGTCAAATTGTAGTGTTTGCTCTGCGGTAGGCCGTTCATGGTTTCGGCTTGGTTCTCCTGCTGCGCTGCTCCACAGAATGTTGACACAATGGGGATGTTTTGGAATGTTTTAAGACCCCGAATTGCGTATTTGGCCACGAAAATAAGGCAACATCAATTGGTGTATTGGTCATCGATATCGATATATTTGTGCGATATATTTAACGGAACTATGCAGATTCTTTTGTTGCACGATTTGTTATGTTGTGAATACGACTGCTACTAGCATGGTGGAATATAACAATCCCATTAAAACGAAGAGAAAAAAGGAAAGCGCAATGCACTTTTCGCTGGTGCGCAAATGCTTATCGATGCATCGATAGCTGCTTAGTGGGACCTTGTATAATATCGCCCATCGCTAAGTGAAAGTGTGACCGTGCTGTGGAACATACAAACTACTCCTCAATGCTGCAGTAAAAATATAAAAATATTCTGCAAAATGATTTGTCGCCTGTGCCTGAACACGCTGGACGAGCAGAATGCCGTCCTACTGTTCGGCGGCACCGTACCCCCCGACGCCGCGCAGGATAACGACAGTGCAGGGCCAGCGGCAGCAGCGGCAGCAGCAGCAGCAGCCAGCAGCAAACCAGTGCCGGAAAGCTATTTGGTCCAATTGATCTCGATCCACTTGTACCTCTGCGTAAGTAAAACCCCAGCCAGCACCGTATCCAGCAGTACGTAATTTTGCACACTTGCAGCTGTCAAGCGACGATGCCATCTCCACCTGCATCTGCAGCGAGTGCTGCGGGCAGCTGGAGAGCTTCCACAACTTCTGGAAGCTGGTGGAGCTGAAGCAGACGACACTGTGCAGCCAGTTTCTGGAGATTGACTGCGATGTGAACTGGTCGGAGGAGGGCGATGTTGTCGATGTCGATGAGGCGTCGTCACCCTGCCAGCTCCTCAAAGAGGATCTACCGGAGTATGCCGAACCGAAGATTGTCGCAGCAGCAGCTGCGGCGACGGCGTCGGCGGCCAACAAATTTCCGTGCATGTTCTGCGAAAAGTCCTTCAAGATGCGCCGCTATCTGGAGGAGCATGTGGCCACACACACCGGGGATCGGCCCATTGCCTGTCCCTACTGCGAAATGGCCTTCCGCTGCCGCTCCAATATGTACACGCACGTGAAGAGCAAACACACCACACAGTGGCTGAAGGCGCGCGAGGAGCGCGACGCGGCCAAGTCTCAGAATCAGGTGCACACCCAGCCCGAGGTGCCCAGCGAGCCAGCGGTGATTGAAGAGCAGCAGCAGCTGCCGCCAGCGCCAGCGCCTGTAGTTTCGCTGCCCTCTCCACCGCCACCGCCGCCGCCAGTGCCGCTGCCGCTGCCGCTTCCACTGTCCGCCATCAAGAGTGATTCCATCGAAGCCATCAACCTGACGATGGCCAAAACGTCTCCATCCACGACCACCCGCTCACGCACGACTCGCTCCAGCCGCCGCAAGACGCAGTCCCCCAAGAAGGTGCACAACACCGAATGCATTGCCAGTGATGGCGATGGCGATGCCAAGGACAACCACAGCAGCAGCAGTCCCGTGCATCACGAGCATCACCACAAGCGCCTCAAGGAGAACGAACTGATGCTGGCCAACTACAATGCTGTGGCTGCCGCCGTCGTGGCAGCGGCCACCTTCAGCGACCGAACAGCCACTGGGCCGGCGGACAGCCTGCAGCAGCGTCTGTGTGCGGGTCTACTGTTCCAGCAGCAGCAGCAGGATCTCTTCACGGCTATGACGGCAGCGGCGGCGAGCACGAGTACAGCCACCGCCATAACGACAGGAGCAGCAGGAGGCGAAGCAGGAGCACTGTCGCATCCATACAGGTGAGGCACACGCCACAGAAGAAGCCACACAAAAGTAATCGAATCTAATTCCAATCGAAAATCTCGAATCTGTTCAGCTCGGTGCCAGGACTGCTGGACAAGCGGCGGCACAGAATGGAGGATAGCGCTGCTCTGGCTGCCACTGGCACGCCCATCATTTGTCCCAGCTGCGGCGAGCTGCCTGGCCAGAATCATCGCTGCCTGACAAAGCCCAAATACGCCTGCGAAGTGTGCGGCAAGTGCTTCAAAATGAAGCGCTACCTGGAGGTAAGTGCTGCGTCTTCTACCCAATTCCCGGATCCGCTCAAAAATCTTCTCTGCCACAGGAACACTTTGCCACGCATACGGGCGTCAAGCTGCACACCTGCTCCTTCTGCCCCACAGAGTTTCGCTCCAAATCGAATATGTACCATCACACGAAGCGCAAGCACAAAGTCGAATGGGAGCGTTCGCGGGCTACACGCACCGCTGCCGCTGGCAAAACGGCGCCAACAGGCACCGACACCGGCAGTCCCGACGGTGTCCAGGAGTCGCCACTGGATGGCTCTGTATCCGGACATCCGTAGTTTTTATATATTTGTATTATTCTTTAGCCGTTTTTTTTTAACTGCATGTTAGTCCGTAATGTACTTGCTGTACTTATTTCTCTGTCACGCTGCTGTCCTTCGTCCTCAGAATGGAGGCTTCTTTTGTGCATACACTCTTCCCCCCCTCTCTCTTCCCGCTGTATTCTCGTGTACTAACCTTTGCCTTGGCAGCTGCCAGACTGCAGCTGCACTGCGACTGCAGCCGCATCTGGGGGCTAATCCTTCAAAAGTAAAAACTTTATTTCCATAAAATGTTCAATCGTTTATTTGCTGTCCCCCGTGGTACGCGAGACATGTAGGCCAGGGAATTATCATGCCAGTACGAGTGCCTGACTGCATGGTCCAACGAGTGCACCCAGCAACTGTCTGTTCAGCCTGGTCTTGGATTTGAGGCAGGCGAGTCACCTCGCTGCTTAGCAGCAAAACAGCTTCAAGCTCGTTTTTTGGCAATGTGAAATAAAGAATGGCATTCAGTAGGCAGTGTTGGGGATCCGGAATAAGATACTCCAATAAATAACTATTAGATATATGTAGGTGTCAAGCGACTCTTGCGCGGATAAGGATACTGAAGTTTGTGGTCTCCAAAGTGCCAGTTCTTAAAAGTGGATCATAGATCATTTTTGGCATTAAAAACGCTGCTCTCCCCGCATTTCCTTTCTTCAACGTATTTCTTCTTACACTTTATTCTTCATTTATACAATTGTGTGTGTGTGTGTGTGTTTGTGTTTGGGAGGTTTTTCTATTACAATGACAAAAAAAATATGTACTACAAAGATCCCATGTGGATCCTCCGTGGAACTTTCTTTCCTTACTTTTTGTGTGAATTTCAAATGTTGAATGCATTTCTGCACTTAATTCTAGAATGGGCGATGATGGATGAATGGATGGATGAATGGATGGGGAGGGGGGATGTCTGCTAGCTGCTCTCACTGAGATTTTTCTGGGCACGAAAACGGAGTGTGGGTGGCACCTCTGGAGCTCGGGTCTGTCTTTGTGGGCTTTTTTTGTTCTACGCCAGTCGCTTGGCGCGTGCCTGCGCCTGCAGCAGATCCTTTGAGGGCACGGAGAAGACAAACGCCAGGCAGCCAAAGCGCAACAGAGTACCGTGGGCGAGCACGGCGGCGCCCTCCCAGGCACCGGGCACCATGGGTACGGGCTCCCCCGTCGCCTGGCAGCGGCAGGCAGGCTTCACAATGCCCACCAGTCTGTAAACAAAACAAAAAAACACAAAAAATGGGAAAAAATTTTGTGATGATATTTCCCCCAAAGACTTCTCTCTGTCTGTCTCTCACCTTTCCTCGCCTAATTTCTTCGGCTCGTACTGCCGCTCGATGTGGCGACGCTTGTCGAGGATCTCATCGACGCGACGCTTCAGATCGGCATCGTCGGGCCGCATACGCTTCACTGTTTTCGTGCGCCCATTCTCGGTGAGATCGCACGTGTACAGCTGGCCGTTGACCTCCGTGCCGAACTCTGAGTAATTGATGAGCTCGAAGGACTTGGAGAACTCGTCGTAAAAGATGATGGCATGCTGGGGCGAGATGCGGCTGCAGTAGCCGATGGCGGAGAGATCAACGGTCTCGGTGTGGCACATCGATGTCGAGGGCGTAAAGTGTCCCCCATAGCCCACATAGAGGGTGCGGTAGCGCATAAATATCGACTGCTCCAGGCTCAGCGAGCTGAACCAGCGGCTGTCCTCGATCATGTCGCCCAGGGGCGTCATCACCGCACGGGCGCGCACCTTGCAGTGCAGCAGCTTCAGTTCGAGGCGGGCGGCCAGCTCGTAGGCCTTCTCCGCATCGCTGCGCACCCGCGGCACATAGCTCTCGGCGGCCGCATCGGCAGCCGCAATGGCCGCGGCCGTTGCCAGGGCCGGATGGAGGGCCATCATCGGATCCTCGTCGGCGGCATTGCCGTTCTTTTGGGCCAGTATCGATGACGTTTCGCTGGTGAAGAGCAGCGAGAAGCGATTCATGTCCTCCGGCGCCAGGTCGCCCTGCAGCGCGGCGCAAGGTAACGCCGGCTGCTGCTGTGCGGTCAGCTGACGCAAGCGGCGTGCGGCCGTGCGATTCTTGTACTGCGTCACAATCTCCGGATGCTCCTGGACGAGCTGCTGCAGACGCTGGTGCGCCAGCTTCTTGATGATGTCCACGTCCAGGTGGCGCAGATCCGCATCGATGATCGCCGACTTGCTGTCCGCCTCCTCGTCCTCGTCGAAGCTCAGGTCCAGAAATTGATTATCCGGCTTCTCCTCGATTTTGATGGCCTCCACTTTTGGCTCTCCTGCTCCCTGCTCCATGGCAGCCGTGCCATTCTCCAGCTTATCCGCCCCTGCCCCTGCCCCCGTTCCCGTTCCCGCACCCGCACCCGTACCCGCCGCCTCTGGCTCTGCCTCTGGACTCGTATCGCTGTCGCTGTCAATGCCCAGATCCTCCAAATCCTGGCCACTGCCGCCGCTGCCGTACTCCCGCTGTATCTCACGGAATTTGGCATGGGCCGAGCGCAGTGCCTCCAGATCCTTGAGCAGCGACTCGGTCACCGTCTCCTTGGATATCTCCTCGACGGAATTGGGCAGATTCTTGCGACGCTTCACCCCATCGTAGCGCAGTGTCTGGCGCATCGAGGGGAGCAGTGGCGGGGGATGCTCGTAGTGGTGCCGGACACTGGCCGGTATATCGATGTGGGCGCGTGTACGGACCGTGGTCTTGGTGCGGAACGGGGGATGGCGGGTGTGGACCCGGCGGAAGAACTCCATCTTGACGCTCTCGTGGTCGACCGGCTGGTTGAAGCGATTCCACAGACGCACACGCTCCGTGGCCGAAATGCTGGTGGTCATGTGGGCGTCCTGGAGAGAGAGAGCAGGCTTTGTTGCAGGATTGATGGAGCTGGAGGAGGAGGTGGTGGTGGTGGTGGTGGGTGTGGCAGAAGGAGGAGCACTTACTATGAAGTTCTCGGCATGATTCGGGCACATCCAGAGGCCCGCCGGCAGCGCCGTCATCGGCGGATCCAGGCAGTCCTGATGATAGAACAGCGGACAGTAGTCGCACGACAGCAGCGGCGCCCGCTTGCACGACTTGCTGCAGTAGAAACAGGTCTTGGCCGGCAGCGGCACCAGTCCCTGACCATCCAGCTCGAACGGCTTCGAGTTGCGCCGCTGATTACCCGACACCCTGTTCCGGCCATTGCCCACATGCGGCTGCGTCTGCTGGACGGGCTGCACCTTGCCGTTGCCGGGGAACTGCGTGTGCAGCTCCAGTTCGGGCGGCAGCGAGAACTGCAGCGGATTGAGCATGCTGGCCGCGCGTATGATGTCGTCCAGCGGCGTGGGACGTTTGTTTGGATCGAGGGCCCGCTGTATGGCCAGCGGCATCTTGGCCAGCAGCTTCTCGGTGCTGTTGCGCTCGCTGTTGCTCCGCTTGCGCAGATTACGGATCTTCTGCGGTATCGACTCCAGGTCCCCCGACGAGGGTGTGTGCCCGCGCGAGCCGCCACTCCCACCGGAGGACACACGCTCCACGGAATTGGCCTTGGACCGTGGCTGGATGACCTTCACCATGCGGCAGCTGTGGCACAGCCACTGGCCGATGGGTATATCCTCCTCGCTGAGCGGCGGATCACTGCGTGGGGGAGAAGGGAATGGGTGCGAACACTAGAACACTGGGCACTTGGCGGAGCTAACTACGGTGGGACGGTGGAGGGGAACGGATCGCATTTGTACTTACTGGCACTGCAGGTGAAAGCTGGATGGGCAGCGGTCGCAGCATAGCAGATTGCCACCCTCCTCGCAGGCATCGCAATAGTCGTGATTGTGGCCACGGCCGGGACGCCTGTAGTACGGATGCTTCGTGTTTGTGGTGCCCTTCACGGCCTTCTCGTCCTCGTTGGGCGGCGGCTCAATAAGCACCTTGATTTGCTGAACAAAAACACAAGCAAAATTGCAGAGAGTTTAATAAAATCTGTGTATATCCCAATTGGGCGGGCAGACGGCGGGGCGTCCGCCAGCGTGTACGCGGAGGCTGCTTCGTGCAGTGCAGTGCTGTGGTTATCATATCTGTGCATTGGGCGGCTGCAATCCACCTACCTCCATGATGCTCGTCGAGGTGCTGGCGTCTTGGTCCACCTTCGACATGTTTCACACTTTTTTATTTCACTTTAGCAATTATCTGTACACAAATTTGTTGTCGCTGATTTTTGAGAAGAGCTGAAACCCATACCGACAACACAACGCATGCAGCCCTGCGCGCATCTACAGACCACACCAAAAGTGGCAACGCTGGCGCCCACTGCACATATATCGAGCGAAATCGATATCTCCATTGAAGCATCTCTGTCGTATGCGTAAATCGTCATTTATTTAGTTTTTGTTTTTAGACATTTCACAAAATGTTTTCGGTCTTTGGCAAGCGCAAGCCCGCCGCCACACCCACAGAGGAGGCCATCCAAGGTCCTGCAGATGTTCCACGCCCCAGCGGTGTCGATGACTTTGTGTTCATCGACCGAAAGCCTAGCCCAGATCATGGCAGGACTTATCCGCCCGCGATGCCCTTCACGGCGCCAGTTGGTGGTGGCGGCGGCGGCCCCCAAAGCTACAACTATCTGGACGATATACCCTTTCAGCTGTCGCCGCAACTGACCACCAAGGCCGCCAGCCTGAGTGCCGAGCAGCAGATGGACGCCGCCCTGGCGCTGCTAACGCGCCAGGTGTCCGTCGATCGTCTGGCCGAGGAGTACACCTTCGCCCTGGAGCGGTCCGTGCAGAAGGATAGCCGCTAGCAGAGCAAATTAAATGTATATTTTAGTCACAAATTAGCTTTAACATTGAATTAGTTTTAATGGCCCGATCTGGAATAAAGGATTGAATGTGGTAGGCCGAGAGATTTGTGGTGGGCAGAGAGGCGACCCGTCTCTCGTTCGTTCAACATTCAACATACAACGTTCGACTAAGCAACAACTAAAAATTGTCAGTGGAGAGGCTTCAAAGTATTTTCGAGCTTTATTCTTTTGCATACGCACAAAAAAGAGAAAATTTCGTTTTCGTTTTGCCAAAATTTCTGTGAATATTTTATCAGTTTCGCAACATGGCCAGCTCGAATGTGTCCGACTGGGATGAGCCGCTGCCGAACGTCATCGACCGAGGAGGTCGAGGAGGAGGATCCGGACTACTGCGCGCCCAGCAATCGGCAGCGCAGGCAGGAGGAGAACGTGGAAAAGCTGCGCTCATATGTACGCCGCATGGCCTATCAGCCATCCATGCCGCCCAAGGCACGGCCCGGCGATGTGGCCCGATCGCAGCCCAAAATCAATTCACTGATCGAGAACTATGCGCAATTCAAGGACTACTACGACCCAAAGCTGCGGGCCAAGCGCATCAAGCGGATGCTGGGCAAATACAATGCCATAACCACAGAGTAAGTATGGAAAGGAAGGAAGAGAGCCCGCCCGCCCATCCAGAAGTGTTATTTCTAACGATCCTTTTGCTGTGCAGACAGCTCGGTGAGGTGCTGAAGAGCAACGAGACGAAGGAGCGACGCAAGGAGGACTTCTTGAAGCGCAAGCAGGAGCTGTACTACAACATGCTGACCAAACTGGAGCGCCAGTGTCGTACACAGTACCTGAACGTGCTAATCAAGAAGTTTGCCAAGTTCATCGCCCATTTGGCCACCACAATGCGCATACCGCCGCAGCTGGTCGATCCGTATGCCCGCATGCAGCGCGGCATCTTCTGCAACGTTCTGCTGGCCATCGGTGTGCAGCCGGCCTCACAGTCGGCCATCTACTACACCAGCGAGGATGCCATCGAGTACGATGTGTGCCATCGCCTCGCGCACGCTCTGCTCAGTCTCGTGATCAAGGCTTTGGATTCGGCGGCAGCACGCGATCCCAACGAGCTGGCCAAGCCCGCTGACCTGGACCTGGAGATGGACAATCACATCAAGCGTCGCCTCATGTGCGCCGCCGAGAAGAAGATCGCCTACGAGCGGCGACGCAACAGGCAGCAGCCGGCATACAAGAAGAGCGCCTTCGAGAAGTGCAGCGCCCCCCAATGCGAGTAGCATGGGACCCCAGACAGGTTTTAGGGACAGGAACGGGACTCGCATGCATCTCGGCTATTCCATTTATTGTCGAATAAATCGGGCTATGCATGTGAGCATCGCATAATCTATCAAGTCTTACGGTCTGAGGGTGAGGCACAGCCAGTGCTCGGGCACCTCAAAGCTGTCGGTGGGATTCGGGGTGTACAGCTCGCAGTAGGGCACATGCCAAGTCCCACCCTCCGCTTTGTGAACGGACAGGCGATGTCGTATGGGCTCCTTGACAATGATCTTGCCCGTCTGCGTTTGGGTGACCAGCGAGAACTGATGCTCCTGCTGCCAGCGTCGGAAGATGGGCTTCAGTTCGGCGCCCAGCAGAAAGGCATGGGTGCGCATCAGGTCCCTGGAGAAGAAGTCCGTCTCCTGGCCGCTTCTCAGCGTTGCATAAAGCAGAAAGGGATCGTCGTGCGACCTAACAAGTGTGCAGAGAGAGAGAAACAAATTAGTCACAGGTACACAGGGACTCAGACTGCGACTCCCTCTTACAGATTGTTGGTGAGGAAGAGGCTGGCATTGTTCTGCACATAGTGCATGGCCGATTTGGACCAGTTGCGCATGTGCTCGCGTCCCAGTACCAGGACACGCTTATTGCGCTCCTTGAAGTGGCGCACCACCGTCGCCAGGAGCTTGGCCAGCTGCTGGGGCGCCTTCTTGGCACCCGTCGAGTAGGCCACATTGAGGCCATCGATCACACAGTCATAGGGGGCCGTCTTCTCCACGTACTGCTTGAAGCGCAGCACCTCCTGGGGCGTGGACTTCTGGAACACATCCCCCCTGATGAGCACCTTCTCCAGGAAGCACTCGCTCAGCTGCCGGAACTGCTCGTCACTGATGGCCACCGGCTGCAAATGCTGCCGGCACTCCTGGCACTTGCCCAACGGCCCCAGACGGCTGGCCGTCACACGCAGCTGTTGTGGCAGCTGCTGGCCCAGCTGGAGCAGCCGCTCGGCCACCTTCTGGCTGACGAGGATGTTGTGGCGCTCGAGGAACTGCAGCAGACGCTCCAGTTGGACTCTAGCGGCTGCTGGCACCTGGGCGAGACGGTTGAGCAGCGCGAGGAACACCTCGCACTTGGGCTGCTTGCGGGCCAGGACCATTTCCTCGAGTAGGCGCCAGGCCACCTCCGTGTGGTCGCTTTGCCCGAACGCCTTCTCGGCCAGGGCACTGTAGGCGGCCACGCTGGGCGTGCTGGTCACCTTCATCATCTCCAGCAGTGGCAGAGCGCGCTGCCAGTGCTCTGTGGTGGCCACCAGTCCGTGGATCAGCTGCTCGCAACTGGTGGCGTCCAGGGTCTCGTGGGCGGCCTGCAGGGAGTCGCTGATCTGGAGGATCTCGCGCTGCTCCGCCTCGCTGAGCGGACGTGTGTGATAGGCCGCATTGTAGACACGCAGCAGGCGGCCCAGGGTGGCCGCATTGGGTCCGACACCCGTGCTCCTCAGGTAATTCACATAGTTCTTGGCCAGCGACAGCTGCTGCGGCCCGCTGCACACGCCCAGGATGACGGCGTCCACGTTGTGGCCATTGATGTGCTTGTAGCCATCGATCAGCGAGTGCCGCACGCTGTGCCACTCATCGCCGCTCAGCTCCTCGCGCCGATCGAAGTAGTTGCTCTTCAGCTGCTCCAACTGGTCGCTGGGCACGCTGCCCAGCATCTGGGGCCGCTTGTGATGGCTGGCCATAAGGCGGTGGGGGCCGCCAGGCCACCGCAGCTGCCGCAGCAGACGTATATTGTGCATAATTAACTATTTATTCAGAATACTTTAATTTTTATCATTCATTTGTTGCGCTTTTAAATATTTTGTAATTAGACAAATTCCGACTGTCTGGCAGCCCCATCGACATTGTGTATTTACAAAAAAAACCTATTAAATCGTCATATATTGTGCATTATCTTTTTAATTTGAATTCTTAATGTAATTTATTGTTGCAATTTCTACTAATTGTAGTTAGTTTACGTAGCGAATTATAATTTTTTGTATTGTTTTCACCGGCTCTGGCAGCACTTTCCCGCCATTGGGTAGTCGATAGTCGATTTTCGATATTTGCAAACAGCTGATTAGCCCGGCATTTTTTGTGCGAATTGTGAAATATTTTTGAAGCCATGTCCGAGACTGCAGCGGAAAACACAGCCGAGGCAGATGCCGATGCTGAGGCTGGCAAAGAGCCGTCCCAGGAGACGGATACAAGAAATCTGCTGGAGTCAGCTGCAGCTGTGCAGGAGGATGAGGAGCTGGCCAACGTTGTCACCGCCGAGGAGTATTTGATGAGCAAAGATGTCGTCCTGCTGGAGTACGAGAAGCAAATGTTTCTCGATCTGGTCCATGCAGACGGCCTGCTGGTGTGTGCCAAGTAAGTTTCCAGCTGTTGGCGTTGCGCACACTCGAGTAACTCCTTTGACACCTTTATCCTCCCGCAACAAGGGGCCTGAGCTATGAGCGCGCTCTAGTTCACATTTTGAAGGCGTTCAGCGACGCTGGAAACCTAATCCTTGTCATCAACGGCTCCGACTGGGAGGAGCAGTACTACAAATCGAAAATGGATGCCAAGTACATCCACGAGGTGGCCAATACGGCAACGGAGAGGTGAATAGAAAATACAGATGGCTTCCCTATCATATTTCCCTCTCACTCATATCCGTGTTTGTGCCCGCAGGGAGCGTGTTTATCTGGAGGGAGGCCTTCAGTTCATCAGCACCCGCATCCTGGTGGTTGATCTGCTCAAGCAGCGCATCCCCATCGAGTTGATCAGCGGCATAGTGGTGCTGCGAGCCCACACCATCATCGAGAGCTGCCAGGAGGCGTTCGCCCTGCGCCTGTACCGGCAGCGCAACAAGACGGGCTTCGTGAAGGCCTTCTCCAACAGCCCGGAGGCCTTCACCATCGGCTACTCGCACATCGAGCGCACCATGCGCAATCTGTTCGTGAAGCAGCTGTTCATCTGGCCCCGCTTCCATGCGACAGTACGCGGTTCCCTCAAGCCGTGGCAGGCGCAGACCATCGAACTGCATGTGCCACTCAGCCAGCACATGACCTCCATCCAGACGCACATCCTGGACATAATGAACTTTCTGGTGCGCGAGATCAAGCGCATCAATCGGAACGTGGACATGGAGGCCGTCACCGTGGAGAACTGTGTCACCAAGAAGTTCCACAAGATCCTGCAGGCGCAGCTGGACTGCATCTGGCATCAGCTCAACTCCCAGACGAAGCTGATTGTCGCCGATCTCAAGATCCTGCGCAGTCTGATGATGTGAGTACCCACCAGAGGTGACCAAGCACATCTTGGGACTTAACCTTCGCGCACACCCGCAGATCCACCATGTATCACGATGCTGTGAGCGCCTATGCCCTGATGAAGCGCTACCGCAGCACGGAGTATGCCCTGAGCAACTCGGGATGGACGCTCCTCGATGCCGCCGAACAGATCTTCACGCTGTCCAAGCAGCGCGTCTACAATGGCCAGCAGGGTGAGTCCTACCAGCCATTGATTGCCTGCCACACCCCAAAATGACATTCAATTCAACAGAATTCGAGCCTGAGCCCTGCCCCAAGTGGCAGGCACTGACCGAGCTGCTCACGCAGGACATTGCCCAGGAGAAGCATCGCTTGGAGCAACCCAAAGTGCTGATACTCTGCCAGGATGCGCGTACCTGCTTTCAGCTGAAGCAGTACCTCACCCAGGGCGGGCCACGCTTCCTGCTGCAGCAGGCCCTGCACCACGAGGTGCCCGTGGGCAATCTGAGCGACAAGTATGCCCGCGAGAGTCAGTCCATTTCGGCAGGAAAACCAGCAGCAGCAGCAGACCCCACCAAATCAGGAGCCAGTGCGGTGGATGCCTCTCAGCCTCCAGTGGCTGCTGCTGCTGCTGCTGCTGGCATGGATGAGCTTGCGCAGCTGCTGAGCGAAACGGATGCGGAGGCGCAGCATTTTGAGGAGAGTTACATGCTGACAATGACCCAGACACAGCTGCAGCCACAGGAGCAGCCAGAGGATGCGGATCCAAATGCTTCCATTTTCGAAACGATACCCGAACTCGAACAATTCGATGTGACGGCTGCCCTCGAGGCGGCGGCCCACCGCAAGCAGCCCTACGTCTGCCTGCAGACCTTCAAGACTGAGCGCGAGGGCTCGATGGCCCTGGAGCATATGCTGGAGCAGCTCCAGCCGCACCATGTGGTCATGTACAACACCAATGTGACGGCCATACGACAGCTGGAGGTGTTTGAGGCGCGTCGCCGACTGCCGCCCGCCGATCGGATGAAGGTCTACTTCCTGATCCATGCACGGACCGTCGAGGAGCAGTCGTATTTGACGAGCCTAAGGCGCGAGAAGGCCGCCTTCGAGCTGATCATCGATACCAAGAGCGTAAGTCCAAATGAAACCATTTATTTTGCTTGGCCAAAAGGTGTTGCAGCCTAGACGAGGAAGCTCTTAGTGGGCTGCAAGTGGTCTTGGGCTTGGGCGTGCCGCCGGCACGAAGCTGGCCTGCTTGGAACCATCCACGATAGAGCATATAGGAAATAGGCGATAAATCCGGAAGCTATGGTCCACCTTTGAGCTTCTTTCCATTAATTTCCATTTGCATATATTTGAGAGCTTCCCGAGAGCTAAACTGTTTCAATGGTTTTTTTTTTGTTGCAGAAAATGGTTGTGCCCGAGTACCAGGACGGCAAGACGGACGAGGCCTTTGTGCTGTACAAGAGCTACGATGACGAGCCGGCGGCGGGTGACAATGCCCAGAGTCGGCAGGCGGGCGGACAGCAGCAGCCGCAGGGTCAGAGGGAGACCCCCAAGGTGATTGTGGACATGCGGGAGTTCCGCTCGGACCTGCCCTGCCTCATCCACAAGCGGGGGCTGGAGGTGCTGCCGCTGACCATCGCCATCGGTGACTACATACTGACGCCGGAGGTGTGCGTGGAGCGCAAGTCAATATCGGATCTGATTGGGTCCCTCAACTCCGGCCGGCTGTACAATCAGTGCGTGCAGATGCAGCGCCACTACGCTAAGCCCATACTGCTCATTGAGTTCGACCAGAACAAGCCCTTCCATCTGCAGGGCAAGTTCATGTTGTCGCAGCAGACGACGGCCACCAATGCGGATATTGTGCAGAAGCTGCAGCTGCTCACGCTGCACTTCCCACGGCTGCGGCTCATCTGGTCGCCCAGTCCGTACGCGACGGCCCAGCTGTTCGAGGAACTGAAGCTGGGCAAGCCGCAGCCGGATCCCCGCCAGGCCGTTGCCCTGGGCAGCGAGGAGCCCGTGGCCGGCGAGCAGCTGCAGTATAACAGCGGCATACATGACTTCCTGCTCCGCCTGCCCGGCGTTCAAACGCGCAACGTGCACGCCCTGCTGCGTAAGGGCGGCAGCCTGCGCCAGCTGCTGTTGCGCACCCAGGCGGAGCTGTCCGAGCTGCTGCAGTCGCAGGAGTGCGGCAAGCTGCTCTACGACATTCTGCATGTGGCCCATTTGCCCGAGAAGGACGAGGTGGCTGGCTCCACGGCCCTGCTGGCTGCTGGCAAACAGTTTGGCGCCGGCTCGCACAATCGGTTCAGGAAGGCCGCCGTCGAGGCGCGTCGGGGTCGGCGCTGAACAGCGGAAACAGGAGGCGGAGAAGGCAGAGCAAGAGGAGAAGTGCGGCCAGGCGTACAGTGCAGAGTAAACAGAGAGCGCAAAATTATGGAAATTTTTAAACGTTGCAATTAAATCGGATGAAACAGCAGCAGCAGGAGCAGGTAGATGTCTGGCCAACGCAGACAACGTTGACAATCGGGGACAGTGATGACCCATGGGGATGCCAGCGGACAACGGGACAACGGGCCAGCGACTACTGCAGCGGTTGCTGCAGTTGCCCATCAGGGAAGGGACCGGTGCATATAAAATCAATTTTCAATACATTTTTAATTGCCTTCGCCTGATGAGAGAGAGAGAGAGAGCAACTCCCGCCGGTGCCCGAAAACTCCACCGAATGGTGGTAGCAGGAGCAGGAGAAGCATCTGCCGCTGCATGGACAGACCCCGTGATACACATGGCAGCAATAGAGCTCTGTTGCCCGGCAGCCTGCATTATAAAATAGCGAAAAACTGCTGGAAATAAGAAATAAATGTATGAATAAGGCTATAAAAACACACATTGAGGGTACGTTTTATAAGTGCACAATGTACATACTATATACATATACACGGCGGCATTTATTCTGTTTCCATCAAGAGAATTGGGATTGTGCAGCAAGCAAATTGGTCATAGTTTAAGGATTCATGATGTATTTGTGTGGTATCTACCAACCATACTATATAGTATATACCTAATATGTACATATAGATGGGTAATACCTATATACATGCAGCATTTAAAAATGTGTATGGCCTGCAACGTATTTTGCAAATTTATATTTATTTATTTAAAAGGACACAAAATCCAAGTATTTCGGGGCTTTTCTTTTAAGTATTTTTGCATAAAAAGCATCAACTAGTAGAGTATGTGGGCGCATGTTGGGTGGGCAATGTTTGGGGATTCCATTTCGATTTACTTATGACCGAACTCAACTGTACCCTAATCGGTTTGACTGCAACCCAATTATGTGCAGTTTTGAGGAGCAGCTAGAAGAATTATTTGCCTATTTCCGTTTAGTGTCTGAAGCAGGGACCTAAGTACTGATTTTGTATACCCGTACTCAAAAATAGCTAAGGCGTATGTTGGGGTGAATCAAAAGTCAAAAATGTATATACGACTGAGTACGGGTATAAAAGTAGAGTCGCGGCCCCAGAAGCGACTCACACGTTCCATCTCGTTTTTTTTTTTACTTTTTTGCCGAATAAAAAAATCATCACATCAATTAAATGAACTAATATACTGCTCTAAGATTTGGCAATCTTTACAAATCCAAACAAAATTGTAAATTGTAAGTTTTTTCGGTGACAAGCATTTCTTTTTTAATAATTATCCATTAAAAAAAAATAATGCCAACAAATAATGATTATTTGATTGAATTTATTTGAGAGTACGCCAATAAATAATTTCCACGATTTCCCATAATCTGATCATTATTCAACTTTGAGTTTTATGTTTTGATAAATAAATTTTAATAAATAAATTTAACTTAATCAACAGAAAACTAATAAAAGTAAGTGTCAAAGTGCCAAGTGCCATAAAAATAAATTCATATAAATTAATAAGAAAAATGTAATTTGTCGTGTAATAAAATAAGCTAATAAATATTACAAATAAAAAAATAAATAAATAAATAAATGTTAAATCCAAGTAGTTGTAGGATTTGTAATTGTGATCCACTGATTAAAATAAATCAGTCCGTCTGTCAGTGAACGACAGATAACCAGAGGCTGTCCTTGCAAAGATAATCATTCAAAACACAAAAACCCAAACCACATTTGTTCCGGCACCCAACCCCACACAACAAAATTCCAAATTCTGTGCATTTCGTTTCGATTGCAGGACGCAGGCATAATGGCCGCCAACGGGCAGCAGGAGGATGAGCCGAGGCCGAGCACCAGCCGCGGAACGGGTGCTCGGGAGAGTGGCGCGGACAAGGACGCCTCGATGCTGATGGTCCTGGACGTCCTGATGGAACTGCGGCGCGGCTACGTCTCCGTGGCACGGCTCATGAGATCCGAGCAGGAGCGCGAGCTGGCCCACAGCGCACTGCTGGCCATCGACGAGGACATCGAGCGGGTGCACGACAACCGCTTCACGAGCCCCGAGCACCGCACCAACCAGCTGGCGGTCTTCAGCGACAGTGTGCGCCGCTCCCGCGCCCATGCGCGGCTCATCCGGAACATGGTGCACCAGACGCGGCTGCGCTACGAGGCGACGATGTTCGAGAGCCAGGTGAGTGGGCTGCCCGACGCTGGCGGCGATGATGGCGGCCTCGCCCGTCGCATGTCCATGAACATGCCGCGCCACTTGGGGCCGCTCGAGACGCTGGAGCCCTCCGAGGCGGATCACGATGAGGAGCATCTGGCGCGCCAGGAGGAGGAGCTGCAATGGCTGCGACGTCTGTCCATTCTCTTTCTGCGGGAACTCAATCTGGATGTGGCCGAGAATGTGGTCGTGGCGCCACAGCGCTGGCTGCCTCCACAAGAGGAGGAGCGACAGCAGATAGCGCGCCAGGAGGAGGGCCACGTGGACGTGGAGCAGCCCCAGGAGGAGCAGCAGGAGCAGGAGCAGTAGCTGCCGCTTGCAGTAGGAATGTGGAGTGCAGGACCGAATAATCTGAATAAAAGTACGATTGGCTAGACATATATGTACATACATATAGCAGGGGGCACATCCCCTCCAACTCCATCTCCAGCTCAATCCCCATTCCCACTCCAACAAAGAGTCATCGCATAATTTCAACAAAAACCGCAATTTGATGCCAATTGAATAGACCGCTAAGCGAGGTAATTGGCATTCGGCATGGAATGGAATGAAGTGGAAAGGAATGGCACACGATTGGCACAGGATTTAGGGGGGAGGGACTGGGTAGGGGTATGGGTAGGGGTAGTGCAGTTCAATGGAATGCAGTGCTGGCTGGTCTAGCTCGGTGTGGGGTGGAGGCCCTTTTGTTTGCCTTTGTCATGCCCTTACTCCTTTTTTTTGTTTAGGCAAAAGTTTGACTTTGTGCCGGGGACTTGTCATCGAATCAGAGCTACCCTCTGATACACTATTACCACTTATTTCTTTGCTTTAATGGGGGGATTATATCCCCATTGCCAATGAAGTATTTTCACGGAAAAGGCAGGCACTGCAGGTTTTGGGTTTCCCGCATTTGCAGCACCCCATAAAATATTGGTCTTTATCTTTAAGCAATATCTTTTGCTTTATCCTGCTGGCTTATCCTTCTCGTTTTTTTTTTTTTTGGTAATATTGAAATTCCGAAAACGGAGACAGTTTGTAGTGGCAGTGCCGCTTGTTAGGGCACAAAACTCTTCGGTTTTGGCCAGACAACACAAAAATCTCTTTTCATGTTTTGTTTGGTGCTGGTTTTTGCTGCTATCCGAACGATGTCCGACTGCTGTCCGGCTGCTGTCCGGCTGCTGTCCGGCTGCTGTCCGCCTCATTGAGCAAAGCGCGCTTAGAGCGTGTTTCTGCTTGTTTGCATTATCTCCCGCTCTCTCCCTCTCTCTCTGGGCCCATTCTTTTCAGCGCAAGTGAATCCAAAACTTTGCAGCCCCATTGATGATGATGAGGATGGGTGATGATGGGGATGGGTGATGGGCAAGTCCGGGTGTCCGGGGGCACACTGTCCGACGCTCGCTGTGCTTTCTGGCGTTGCGGCCCCTGATCCGGTGTGTCAAAGCATTTTTGCCAATTGGCTGCGCTTTGTGCCATTGAACCAGCGGTATGCCAGCGGCGGCTCCAGATCGAGTGGAATGTGCCCATTGGGGCAGGGGTTGGGGGTTGGGGGTGGGGGTCGGGGCTGGATAGCAGCGGGCACAATTAAAACTCTATTACAGGGCCTTGCCACCGATTTCTTTTGCTGGGATTTTGTGCGCCTCGGGGGCCGTTGACTGCCGTTCCATTCGGTGTCGTTTCCAGCCCTGTTTCGCCCCCTGTCTTTGCCGTTTCCGTTTCCCTTTCGTTCCATGCCCGCTGTGGGCTGTGGGCTCTCATCGCTCGTCCATTGTTAGATTCGACCTCAACAAACGCTTCAATCAAGTGCCGAACAATGGGGGGAAAATGCCATCACTATCTCCGCCCTTCCAGCGGGATTCGGCCAACCAGTGTTGCCCCCACAATGAAAACGTTAATTTCCAACCGGAATGGATCTTTGGTTCAACATTTTTGTTGGGTTCCTCTTGCTTTCCTTTTTGTATGCAGTGTACAGACAGAAGGAGAGCTGATGAGCAGTCGAAGCGTTGGGAATTACAGGGTACGAATGTTTCATACAAATAATTCTTGCAATTAAAACGCAACGAAACGAAAAGATGTAATCATAGCCAATAGATCCTTGTATTTTGCATAACAATTCCAAGAGAGAACAGAAAATCAATCAATTAATATTATTTTTTATTTTTATAGGCGTACTCAAAAAAGAGTTAAGGGGTATATTAGATTTGTGGTAAAAATGGATGTGTGTAACGCAGAGAAGGAAACGAAAGGAAAATTCTAAAAAATTATAAGCTCAAAAATGTATATACTGACTGAGTTCGGGTATAAGTAGAGTCGCGTCCCCAGAAGCGACTCACACGTTCCTTCTCGTTTGTTATTTCATTCTCCTGGCCAGAGCCCTGAGCTCAGAGCCTCTGCCTTTTATGCAGAAGAATAAGTCCTGTAGCATTTGGGAGCAAGTTCCCCAGCGCTTAAGTGGAGTTCTAAGCCCACAAATTGAGCAACAGAACAGAGCACAGATAACCGTTCGAGTGGCAAATGGAATTATGCAAAAATTCCATGAATTCAATTGCACCAAGTTAATTCATTCGATGATACTAATTGATCAACATTAATTAACAACTTTTTGCCTACTTCATTCACGGCAGAGAGAGCAGAGAGGCCCCAGAGACCCGACCGGCCCACTTTCGAATCATTCCCATTCTGAGTAGGAAATTAAGAGTCGCAGCCGCAGCCGCAGCCGCCGGCAGCATCGTTAACCGCTGGCATCATTAGGAGTGGGTGGCGGCGGCGGCGGCGCTCTCAACCCACATAGGCTGGAGCTGGCATTTGAATTGTTGGCAGGATATTTCCTGTGCGGCTGGCCAAACACGCAGATTGTGATTGGAAGACACACACAGACACACACACAAACAAACAATGGAAAATCGAACTTGAATCGAGGCAATTATCAGTGAATTTTGGGGTCATGGAAATGGACTTTTAAATAGCTTATGGCTAGGATTACCGAATGAGTTTCGTTCCACAGTTTGTTCACCAGCTTAAATGAAGAGCGAACTTCGCTTGTGGCGCTAAAAACTGTGCACACCACAACTTGCAACTAATTTCCATTGAATATGAATTAATAATAAACAAAGCTGAATCCTGGCAGCACGAAAAGAGTTCTAAGAAAGAATCAATCGATCCCAATGCCACACATGTTCCGCCCCCCCAGCTGCTCCAAACTAAATCCAATGTTGCCGTGTGCCAGTGGCATTTGCGTTGAGGCAATTACTTGATTTAGCATTTCGCACTTGCTGCTCGACTCCGACTCGTCTACCCTGCCATGGCCATGGCCTGGCCTGCCCTGGCCTGCCCGCTGGAATTTCATTAGTCAAAGTCAAAGGCACTGAGAGCCATTTGTCAGGCGTGCCATCGATTTTTGCTTAATTTCATTAGGCTCGAGTGCAGAAAGCGGGCACGGTTGGGCATGGCACTGGGCACTGCCACTGCCACTGGCAAATTGTTCAACAATTTGGCACATTTCATGGGCCGCCTGGCCCACAATTTACTAACAGCAACGAAAGGCACTTAAGCCCAGAGGCTGAGCAAATTGTTTCGCAAATATCACACTCAGTCCACGATCGTTTGGGGGGCGCTTCTTGCATCCAGAAATTCCCTTATCTGATAGCTGCAATATTATTTCCATGTGTTCCATGGGCAGACACTTATGGCTGCCATTTTGCATCGATGAAAATTCACTGAAAATCCATACAAATCATTCGAAACAAAGCACAAAAAACTGTAACTAGCAAACAAAAACAAATCAAAGGAGAGTCTTCAGCTTTGATTTATCCTTGGCCCCTCCATACCCCACTGGGTCTGCTGCTTCTGCTACTCTTCTATTTCTGTCATTTGTCACGTACAGGCCAAGGCCAGCGGGCGACGCAACATGTGGGCCAAACATGCAACAAACTTCACCCTGCGGATGCTTCGCCATATTGCCATATCAAAGGAAGCCGGAAGCACGGAAAAAAAATTCTAAGAGCCGCCTTGCTGCATCTTTGCTTACACGCGCAGCGAGGGAGACTGCCATCATGCCCCCGGGCAGTGCCGCGACATTGTTCATCGGCACAGGTAGATCTGTGGCCTCTCTGAAGCGCCTCTGCTTCGATTTTGAGTTTTCAATCAAGTTTCCCTGCCTTTTACCCTAAATCTAAATTAATTTTTATTCCAAATTCCAAGTCAAGGCTAAAGAAAACTCCTAGGAACTCCACTGCACGCAGCGCAAAAGGATTTCAAATGGATGTAGAATTCTGGAGCCGCCAAAAAGAGATCAGTCCAGGCTCGTGGCTGTGTTGGATATACTCAGTTGTTGGCAATTGTGTAGCCAGTGGCAGGCATGCTCTATCCTGGCTGTCTCTGGGGGACAATAAGCAGCCGCAGACTGCAGCCGCATGGTGCATAGAAGCTGCAAACTTGCAACCGAACGAACATGCTCCAAATGGTACAGATATTCATTTGAATGCAGTCATGGAGCCAGAGGCCTTCAGGTTAGTTTTTCTAGTGCCCCTCGGCCTCGCCCATAACTAATCAATATAAATATAATGCCAGTGTCGAGCAAATAATAGACTTTTACATCGATATGATGGCAGAATACAACTCGAAAACGAATCCACACACGACACCAGCGGGCAGGAAGCAGAGGAAGCCCAGCTATCGAGTGAGCTGCATAAATGGGCAGAGCAGCAGCAGCAGCATAGCCCCAGAGGTCTATGAGGCCAAGGCATCATCCAAATCGTGAGTTTGATGGCAGCAACAAAAACAAAATCAAATCAACAGATTTAATATTAATTAGTTGCAATTGCAGGCCAGAAACTGGAATCGAATGGATTTTGTTATGCTCATTCTTTATGGCCTTGGCTGTGATTTGCCTTTTGCCGATTTGCTATTTTCAAATCAAACGTCATCTACATGGGGATCGTCTCAGTGCTCATCCAGAACGTCCTCATCGTCATCGCCAGCGCCAGCGCCAGCGCCAGCGACGACTCCATCGCCGTGCACGCAGCGTCAAGCCACAACAGGATGAAAGTGCCAACGAACAGCCAAGCAAGATCGAGGGGACCCGAGGCGACACCAGCGGTCGAGGCGACTCCCAGCGACGTCGTGGAGGAGCCGCCACACAGCGAAGCCCTCGACGTGGCGGCCGAGTAGCTGCCCAACGAATCGCATACCGTCGACCGCCGACCTCCTCCTCCGATGAGTTTGACGGCTAAAGACACAAACAAGCAGCAAAGGTGAAATTTTAGTTGCAGAACTCAAAACTGAACCCAAAAGTGAACCTTAAATGTATCCGAGAGCTACCTTTAAGATGTTTCATTCAAATATTTGAAATTAATTAAAATTTATATACGTTTGAGCAGGCAAACTAAAGGCTGGGCCCCACCTCTTGTAGGAGGTATTTGCATTGCGAGCTTCCACTTTGGCTTAACTTCCATCGAATCTTTCAAATCTTTCGATGCGCCCTGCTAAACGATGCCCCTAAACGATGCCCCCTGTCCCCTTTTCCAGGCAGGCAGAACAGCTTATCATAAATGAAAAATCTTAAAGCGAATGCGAATGCGAATGGGAATGCCAAACGACCAACAACAACCGAATGGAAGCACCAGCAATGCCAGCCAGACAGCTCCGCACTCCACACGAATCCTCGAGTGCCCCAAATGGTTGGCTGGCTGGGTGGCTGGGTGGCTGGCTGGCTGTCGTTCCCATTTGGCTGCATTTGGTGTAAATGTAAATGTAAACGAAATAATCGCTGGCCCATATCTCGGTAGGTGGAGGAAATTGCCGCCCAATGGGGCCAGTCAGTCGCAGGGAAAAGGCAGCCGAAAAACCAACCAAGAACCAAAGGAAAATCTTAGTTGGTTTTTTTTTTGGTGCTTTGCAGCTTGTCCCATTATTAAAGAGCTCGAAGAAGGCTTTGGGGGCTTGTACTTCTTGTGATCTCTCTCTTCAGAGTTATTCTAGGCTTTGTTTAGGAATCAGATTCTATGACAAATCAAGCCACAAAATTGTTGAATACTTACGGGACTGTTGGACGGCCTTCTCGAGACCTACTCGAGGCCTGCACTGTCTTCCCTCGCACCGAGGGAGCCTGTCAGCACGGTAGAGGAGGTTCCGGCATCCACTTTATAGGTTTGAATAGCATCACTGCAGTTCCAGTTCTTCTGCGTCGGATATAAGCTGATCTTCTAGTCGAAAGCCTGGCCCTGATTTCTGATCCACTGCCGCGAACTGCCCTGTCCCATGCTGAAAACTGGAACTTGTGTTGTCGCTTGGAAAGGTATTCAATCAAAGATTGATTGGCTTAATGTGCACTCCCAGCCATTGTGGCAAGCGTAGGCGTTTCAGCCCAGGAATGTATGCCCTTCCCTCTGCCAGGGCGCGCGATGGCTGGCTTTTGCTCTTGGGCGACATGTTGCAGCACCAAATGGCGTTCGCTTGTCCGCTTATCCGCTTGTTGGTGTCACAATTGCTGCCCTTCTGCTCCCCTGCCATGTGGTTAAATGGCCAACACACATTGTACACCAGCAGGAGGAGCAGAAGGCGAAGGGTGAGCCAATTCGTATTGATTTCAGAGAGAGAGAGTCGTAGTCGTAGTCCAACCCCCCCATTCATTTTGGACTGAACAAGCGGCGAACCGTTGGCTTTTATTGTTTGCTGGCTGCTTGTCTGGAATTCCCCAAAGTCAAGCGACCCCCCCAGCCCGTACAGATGTGGGGACCCTCGATAAGCAGTGCTATGCGCACCTATGCAGTCCCCAAAATTTGGCTGTCAGATGTCTCTCGCTCTCTCTCTGTTTGTGTGTGCTGGTGGGTTGGTGGGTTGGTGGGTTGGCTTGAGGTTAAATAGGAACTGCGCCAACTTATAACGCAAGCAACTTCCACTTCCGCTTTCACTTCCACTTCCTGCTGCTGTTTGCTGGACGAAGGACAACGTTGTGTGCCGACTGCTTGCCTCTGTCTCTGCCACTGCCACTGCCTCTGCCACTGCCTCTGTCCCTTGTGCCCTGCCCTTTGGCATTCGCAGAAACTATTAAATCACATTTTACGAGCGTTAAGTGCACAATTAAAAGCATTTCGTTAATGTGGAAAATGTGGCGCTGTCTTGGGCTCTGCCTGAACATCCCCCCCCCTGTCACTGTCCCTGTCCCTGTCCCTGCTCCTGCCCTGTCCTCGTTTTCCGTCTCTATCTTCGTACCGCTCCATTTCATTGTGATGTAATTAAATTTTCAGCTGCCAGTCCGCGCATTGCTTTGCGTACACCTTGGGGGCACTTTTTGGGGGTCGCTCTGAATGGTGTCTCGAGCCGGAGGAGCATGGGGCTACATGGATTGCAGTCTGTGCGGGGAACTTGGGGTGTGCCGAGTGGAGCCATTATGCCGGGTCTCCTGTGTGTCCTTGCTGCTGGAAAAACAAACTAAATCGATTATGGTTTGATGTAAATTTGCTTTTCCCTCCCCCACTAAGCCCATTAGAATGTTGTCTTAAGGCAGTGGTGCTGGGTAGGGGTTCAATGCACAGTGATATTTGTTTTTGGATAAAACACTGCCCCAAGACTAAGTAGGAAGTTTCTGCAGAAAAAAGAGTTCAAAAAGCTGGGAAATATGCCGCATAAATGAGAGATATGATTGGGAGAGAATATCGTACTAAAATTATCTATAAAGATAGTCCCAATAGTCAATGGAGTACACTTACGTGTGTTTGTGGCATTCCCATCCATCCGGATCAAGGGTAGACCACCTGAGGGCTGCTGCTGCCATGCTCGTGTTCACGCAGGAAGATGGAACGGGAATGGATCTACTCGTATCTGCTGGCCCATGGTGGAGAGCAGGCGCTTCATTAGGACTAAAACGCAAACTAAGTAAGTAATATGAGCTCTAGTAGGCGTGTGAAGTGCACACTTGATGATTGGGCGGGGCCGGCGGGGTCTGTGGCAGTTTCTGCTGCTGCGTGGGGGTGGATGCAGCTCGAGTGTCACTCACACCTCTTCACAGCTTCCGCATCCGCAACCCTCTCTCACACTGCTCACTCCGCTCACTCAGCTCACTCGCTCACGCCTAAGTGCGGAAGCATGTTCAAGTGTGTTGGAAATGGAAAGCAATGTGTTACTTTTTTTTTTTACTCTAATTTTCTTTCGTTTTGTATATTTGTGTGCTGTGTGTGTGTGCTCCGCTCTGCTCCGTTCAGTTTCGTTGTGGGAGGCAGCAGCGGGACAAGGACAAGGACAAGGATGAAGGTGAAGCAGCAGAGCCCTGCAGTTCGAACACAGGCAAGAGAATGCGATCGAGGAATAATCTCATCCGCTCTAAATAGGTAATGGCAGTAATGGAATGAAATCTTAGTTGATTTTGGGATTGGAAGGAGAGTGGATGGGCTTGCAGATGTACATATGTATGTATGTAGGAGTGCACCAGCGATGAGCACAAAGCAAAAGCAGGGCTGCTATAATATTTAATGCACGACTGTTCACAGTAAGTCATTACAGCCTATGTACATACATAGGTACACTGATAAACGCTATAAGGCGAAAGTGGAACTAAAAGCGGAGCCGAAAAAATCAAACACACTGCTCCAGTGCAAGTGCGCACATTGCCTGCTTAGCTGAGCTGCAAGCTCAAGCATGATCAAACATGTTTGTTTTTATCTGCTCAGCTCTGCTTTCAGCTAGAGTGTGCGTAAGCCCTGCAGACAGCGCTCTCAGAGAGTCGTAACAGCGCGCGGTAACAGCAAGCATTTACTCCGATCGATAACAGCATGTTAACAGGTGAAGAGGGCTGTTCTTACTCTGAGAGGAAACTAACTATGTTGCTGCTATTCTTCTCTCTTGCTTTCAAACATGAAGATGTATTGTGTTTTGTTGTGTTTTGATTAATAAACAGATGACATTTGCTTGAATTAAAGACACGGGAGAGTAAGTTTCTGTGCTGTCTGTTCCTGTCTGTCCATGCCCTGGAGGGAATAAGGAACAAATTAAAGTTCTCTCCTTTGACGTGGCCTGACATCGTCAAAAGGTGGGTTTATGTGCAATCAGAGACTGCCATAAACTGTCCAAGTAATGAAGGGGGTGCCCCCGGAGAAGGACTAGACTAAGGATGATTTTAATCGAAGGGATCAAGCGGCACACGACGAGCAGCCCTGCACCCTCCCAACCACCCAACCACCCACCCACCAAACGTTGAACGGAGTCGTTCTCAATTCACTTTGGTCAATGTCCCCGTCCTGTCCTCTGGTTTAGTTTCGTAGCTTCGTTTCTTTACGGTGGTATGGCTCTGGGTCCGGCTCTGGCTCTGGCTCCGGCTCCGGCTCTGGCCACTGTGCGCCTGTTCGTGTCTGGGGCTGTCCGGCAGTGGCCAAGTCTTAAGACCCATAAAACCCATGTAGCATAACTAATAGGTCTTTGGCCATAGAGTTTTGTTTTGTTTATTCTTTGTTTCTCCCACAGTCAGTCCCCTACCCCCCCCCCCAATCCCTGACCCCCCCCAGCCATCAGAGCTTCGACATGGCATTGCAGTTCAATGCACGGGCGTTGAAATTGTTTTCATTATTTCATTTCATTGGCCCACCACCGCCAGGTGCACCTGTGAGTTATGGCCAGGAGTCGCCGCTACGGGTGTACTACGACGGGTGCTCTGGGGCCAGGGATTAAAGCCAAAGCTGTAGCGACCCCCCCCAGCCCCCAGCCCCAGTGCCAGTCCCAGTGCCAGTGCCAGTCCCGTGCCATGCCAGAGCCATGCTGTGGCAAAAGGTATGAGCCATTAAATAAATACCAGCGCCAATCTGAAACGGTGCACTGAGGAATAACGCTGCGGCAAAGAGGAAAGGCGAAGAAAGGCGTGGGGTGGGAGCTGGGGGGTCATGGGACGTGGGAAACGGGGAAAAGCGTCGCCGAAGAAGTTCAAATAAAAATTCATAATTCAAACTTAATGCAAGACGAACGTAGTGCGTGTCCGCGTGGAGCTATGCAGCGGCGGAGCAGTGATGTGGAATAATCACGGGCAGCTCCTGGCCTGTGATTTCTTATCGGAATAATCCCAAGCAAAATATGTTGATTAGTATGCGGAAGGGGGCACATAGCAACATACATATGTATGTATGCCATAAATTGGCCGGAACTGCGTCACTTTGACCAATCGAGTTGATCGATAAATAATCGAAAGCACTGCTTCTGCGGCATAAAATGTATATCTTTCCGTTTCTTAACTTGGTACCCCACATATAAATTCTCTCTTCACATTCTCCTGCCCTTCCCTCATCGCAGTATCCGTTTTTCACACATCCATTTTGTAGGATTATTTATCCATTATTTTGTTGGATAAATAATCCATTACCATGTACTATGTAGTGTCGGCCTTTAACCTGTG